CACAGTAGAAAAATCCCACTAGTAATTTGGTTTCCATGACATAATAGAAATATTATTCTCTTAGATACTGTTAGCTAAGATTTTTTAAGCAAATTTATTTTACGATTATAAAAGAGTTATAAAAACATTATAATATCTTGGAAAAGAGAGAAAAGCACTGCATATCCCACCTGTCAAACATGAGCCTGTTCTCTAAGGCCTTGCTACTTAGAGTGTAGTCTGGGCCAGAAGTATCTGCATCAGCTAGAAGCTTGTTGAATATGAAAAACATCAGGTCCATCTCAAACTGATTTAATCAGAATGTGATTGATTTACATATTAATTTCTGAAAAGCACTGCTCTAAGACGCTACTTACAGCCCAACAGAGCATGACAATCACCAAGAGCATTTACCAGGCATCTACCTCCTTCCAATAAATATTGAGCACCTGCTATATGCCAAGTTCTGTACTAGATACTGTGTTTTTATCTGCTAGATATTTTCCAGGACTGACTCAGGAATATATGGAAAAAGTGTTGCCCTCTTTTTGAATTGTTTCCTTAGGCAAATCAAGTAACTGTAAATTTAAAAGCTGCCAATTTCAGACAGGTGCAAATCATCTCATTCTGAAGTGGTTCTACTTGCTTTCAAGTTCTCAGTGATGTTGCTAAGTCTCTAAAGTTTGATGCTTTCTAAATATTGCTCATTCCTTTCATTAACAGCTGAAAAATAAAGGGGAAAAAGGGACTAAAATTAACATTTCACAGTAAAGCCTAAAGAATACATTGTGTTTGCCTTAGACAGCTTCCATAAAGTTTATGTTTGGAAATTTGGGGCTAAAGGGAAGTCTTGAAAGTTGGCACTTTAAAAATAAATCTTAAGATATTACTTCCCAGAGTCATTTTTCTAGGGGAGTGGGTGGGAAGAAAAAAAAAAAACATTGATGCAAAGAGCTAGGTGACATACTCCCAATATCCTGTGGTGTACTTGAAAACAAAGAATACTATGGTTATACCAAAGAACCCTTTTAAGCATAAGAAGATATATGAAAAATATTACATACAGGTGATACTTGACATACAAGTGATACTCCTCCAGATCAAACCAAACAAACAAAATGGGAATATTATGCAGCAAACTAGGTTTAAATGAATGTTAAGAATAGCCTGGAAGAGGAAATTTTAATAAGATGTCAAAAGCAGCCACTACGCAGCAGGAGTTATGTGTATAGAAAGGTGGTTTGGGGCCGGGCGCGGTGGCTCACGCCTGTAATCCCAGCACTTTGGGAGGCCGAGGCGGGTGGATCATGAGGTCAAGAGATCAAGACCATCCTGGTCAACACGGTGAAACCCCATCTCTACTAAAAAAAGAAATACAAAAAATCAGCTGGGCATGGTGGTGCATGCCTGTAATCCCAGCTACTCAGGAGGCTGAGGCAGGAGAATTGCCTGAACCCAGG